CGACCAGTTTGCCTGTTAATTTTTATTTCAATGCTTTAAATCGCACAATCAGTCCGTTTTTGGTAGCACCCTAGAGTTTTTCTGTTCTAAATCAGTCGTCTTTAATAACACACAGTGGGTCCTGTAGGTTGTTTTGGCCGCGCGACACACTACACCGTATCTTGATAACTCTTTGGAAAAAATGGGTGTTTTTTCTTTAGCTAATAGTTATATTTTATTAGCAGTAACGTAAATGATATACCTGAAGGCATTTCTAACGTTTTGATTTTTATAAATGAATAAGGATTATGTCAAAGAACATTTACGTGACCATTAAATAATGAGCTCCAACGTTTCCGTCGGTTCTAGATCAAAGAATATCTTTCCGTTTGTTTATTTTCTACACCTCCAACATAAAGTTATCCGGTGTCAAACACGTGCTGTTCCACAACAGAAATTGAATTCTGATACTTAGTATTAGAGTACTTTAAACTTATTGGTGACACACGGAGAGCAATGTTTCGTTTTCAATACTTTAATGAAAGTAAATATGGTTGACAGTTTAGAATATATAAATAATGTTATTTAAAACAAAGACGGAACATGTTTCTTAAGACAAATGATATTTTTCTGTTTGCTTCCTGTGAAAATATTTTGCAAAAACTTTCAGGATGTTTTCACAACTATAGCTACAAAATATGGATTTAACTTAATCAGTTATAGAATAATGGAGTAGATTACTCTCAAATGAAACTATAAGAAACAGAAAGACATAAAAAGTGTATTTGATATAGAAGAGATCACAATCTTTAGAACAGCAGGATAAATGTTAACTGTGTATATTTTTAGTATTCCTTGGCACTTGTGTAATGTTAAATGTTAAAAACTCAAACAAGAGCACCCACATATTGCTCCAATTTTCGATTATTATTTTTCTTAATCATGTTAGGCCGGCGTATTTAAACTACATAAACGGTATACCCCCAACGACATCTCTGTCTTACTTCAGCCAGTATCTCTAAAAACCAAGACACATTACATGATAATCTTCATTATAATTTATTCCTCGGTGTTTTTATTGTGGCTGCAAATAATTTTTTAGTCTCTTATGAATTTACATTTAACTATTTAATCACTATGGTCGCGAGTTTTTATTTACACTTTGAAATTAAACTGTAATACGTCTATCACGTTTATCTGGGTTTGTAGGCTTCCTTCTTTACAAGATCTATAGATTCAAAGTTACATTCTATATTTCTAGTAAGTGACAAACAACATACAAAAATTCCCATTCCTATCTAATGATGCCACATCCAAAGTTTAAACAGATTATTTCGGTTAGATAACATTTACATTTTTTAACATATTACAACTGAACCATTATTTAAGTTCCAAGAAGTAAATGAAGTCGTAGAATTTCTGTTTGAAATTTCAAAAATAACATGTTTTATTAAAACACAAAATAATTACTCAATGTATTGTCTGTCACAGTAAATAGAGTGAATATCCATCCCAAGGATGAATATCCATCCATCCATCTTCTTTCTTTACCACATCTATAGATTCAAAGTGACATTCTATATTTCTAGTAAGTGACAAACAAAATACTTTGGTTTCTAAATTATGATAACAACAGACAGAATCAGAGCAAGATTAACGTAACAAATCTTATTGAACAGAAACTACGTGATGTCTGGTAATAAACACATTCTCACCATGATTAATTTTTGGTTGTGACTCGGATATATTTCTGTGTGAAACCTGAATAATCACTGTTAACCTCCAGTAAAAGAGTTTTAAGAAATACGTTTTAAATACTGCTTGTTTTGAAACCGACATTGAATGTTCCTAAGTTTCTCTGTTTCTAAAACACTAATTCATGTGTAAGACGTCAGACACTGTTGAAAATACACTCTTGATAAAGAATGAAGTTAAGAAATCTCCTGAAATATCGTATTTTAAAGTAAAACATAAATACAGTTTTTCATTTCAATCGTTAGAGTATAAGAAAATACTTAACCCTTTCGAGACGGGTCACGGGTGAAAGGCCATGTCATCTCGTTGTTCATTCACAATCAAAATTTTATTCAACTACTATGAATTGATGTTGATATCTTGGTTATCAATGTGTAGATTATACTTCAAATTTTGATACTATATCGGACATGAATAACCAATTGGAAGCTCAGAATGTCCCCTAGTGGCTTTCTGAGCCATTTTGACGGACCTAGCGCCAATCATTTATTTTGAATTAAGATTTCAACGAAGTAAGGTGTGTCTTTAGTCTGATCAAAATTTCATATTTTTTAGACTAAAATACCTTTTAATTACTAAGATTCATAAATTATAGTGGAATTATATGGTATTAATGTTGTAATGTATGATTTTTTGGTTATTCCAATGTATATCTGAAA